TCTTTTTGGTCTCCTGCACCTGGGACATGTGGGGTGGGGAGGCAGGGAGGCACAGGAGCATCCAGGGCGAAGCTGCAAAAAAAAGGTTTTGGGGACTCTGAGGTTGCAGATGTTCTGGGTGGCTGGAAGGAGGGGGTTGGCAACAGACCCCATGCAAGGTATGCCAGTCCTTTCTACTCCCCGTCCTACCGTATGAGGCAAAAGGTCTCTAATGGCAAAACGGCAGGGCTGGTGAGAAGAATCACACTTGTGTGTCCCCCCCCCACCCCAGGCCAAATGTCTTCCAGTGTCAGAGGAGTGTCAGGAGGCTTTTGTTTTTAATACTGTAAAAAATACATATAAAATCCTGGGGGTAGTGCGTGGAGGGTGTGTCTGTGTGTGTGTGCGAGAGGGAGGGGAACAGCTTAGTTTGCAAGGGAGGCCCCCGTTCTCTGCAATTCTCTGTCTTCTGAGCTACCCTGGTTTGGATCTCATTTGGGGTTTGCTGCCCTGGCCCTGACCCCTTCTATGCTCTGCCCCTCAATGCCCCCCCCCCAGCCTTGCTATCTGTATGAAGCTGGACCAAACCTCCTCCCTTTCCAAACTCAAGGGGACACACTCCTCCTTTCCTTTGGCTTCAGTGTTTCCCCAGCTTCTGCTTCGGCACTGGTGCTCCCTCTCTTTTCCCAGCACCTCCCATCCATCCATCCATCTGTCTGTCCACACGCCCCCTCCACCTGCCTGCCTACCTGCCTGCCAAATGGACGGACGGACGGGAGAACTGGGGAGCGCCCTGTGCCCCACCTAACCTTCCCTACCCTTTCCCAGTCTATACAAAGTAATAAATATTCTGCGCCACTGCCCCAGACCCGCTGCAGCTCAGGCCCGGCTGCGGGGGGCAGGGGCGCAGCGGGGGGGCTGGCCAAGGGGCCTCATGCCCTGCGGGCACAAGCACTGGTAAAAGCCATCCGTGTTGAGGCATCGGCCACCCGGGCAGAGTCCCTCCATCTCGTTGCATTCATCAATATCTGTGGGCGAGGGGAGAGAAAGAGAGAGAGAGAGAGGCAGGGGGTCAGGAGCTATGGGGCAGAGGACAGGCTGGGGAAGACACTGGTGCAGGCTAAGCAGCTGGCAGGGCCCAAGCCGAAGCCCACAAGGAAGGGGTCAGAGGAGGCTGGGGAAGACAAGGACACTGGTGCGGGCTAAGCAGCTGGCAGGGCCACAGCCGAAGCCCACAAGGAAGGGGTCAGAGGAGAAAGCCAGGGCTGCGGGGGGGCGGGGTTGAGATGTCAGGTAAGGGGTGGAGCTGGAAAAGAGTTTCAAGCGCTCACCAACGCAGGCCATGCGGGTTGGGTCGAGGCGGTAGCCATCGTGGCAGTCGCAGGTGAATCCGTCAGCCACGCGGACGCACCGCCCATTTTCGCAGCCACTCAGGATCCCGCATTCTTCAGCCTGGAGGTCCCCGAAGCTTTCGAAACGGCCTGTGGAAGGAAGCAGCGAGGAGGTGGGGTTGGGTGGGATCAGAAAGCAGGAGGCCCCCCACCCATGCCTGCCTCAGGTTCCCTTCCCAACCCTTTCACGCTCAGCAGTGGCGAGAAGCCTCTCCATTGACTGCTGTTTCTCAGCTTCCCCCATTCCCTTGCCTCATCCCATAATAATCATAATGATCCCATGCTGTCAAATCCATTCTGACTTAGGGCCAAGACCACCCAGGCTGGCTCTTCTCCCTAAGGGCAGCATGGGTGGAATCGGACGCCCAGCCTCTGGCACTGCAGTGAGATGCCCTAAACCGCTGAGCGATCCAAAGATTGGTTGGGCGGCATCTTCAATCCTAGCAAGTTTTATCTGGCGTAGAGTTTTGTGGGCAGCAGCCTGCTTCATCTGGCATATCCGAAGAAGCGGGTTACCATGCACAAATAAAACTTACTGGCCTTTTAGGTGCCAGAAGACCCTTGGGCATTCTTTCCTCTGGAACAGACAGATGCTATTGCCTTCAACCTGCTTGGGATTTTATATATATAAAAAGAAGGCCATTGCAAACCCTCCACCCCACAGGGAGTCTACTCACCGTAACCTTCACTAGCCCGTCCCGGCCGTTCCAAGTAGGTCCCCCCGCGTCCGCGTGACGGGTATTGCCAGTCTGACTCCGGGGGGCTACGAGGCCGGTATCCACCCCGGGAATGCTCGGCCGGGTCCTCATGGCGCGTCTCCGTGTAGGAAAGATCCTCAAAGTCAGTGGCCTCGTAGGGTGAGGGGCCGTAGAGGGAGTCGCGGGGAAAAGGGTCGTAGCCTGGAAGCCGTGGGCCGGGCCGGGGCAGAGGGGCAAAGATCTCTGGGCCGTAGGGCAGATACTCTCCCCCTCCATATTCGAAAGGCAGCCCCAGGCTTCCTGGGCGCACGGGGCCGTAGCTGGGCGGCCGGAGGACGTTGCAGAGGGCTTCGAAGTCATCTGAGGATGGAAAGCAGGTGTGGTGAAGAGGGCGGGTTAGGTTTAGCTACTGGATTCCCTTTCCCTGCTGAGGAGCGGAGGACTTACCCGAGTCCCGGGTCGGGCACAAGGCGCAGCTCATGCTCCACGCTTCCCCAAAGAGGCAGCAGCACTCGGTGTAGGTGACCTGGCGGTCCAGGTGGGGGCGGCTGCACACCAGGTCGGGCCCCACCTCCTGCCAGCAGACGGCCAGGTTGTCATCTGGGGGAGGAGGAGCAGAAGGGAGGGGCTCAGGGAGCAAGCAGGCCCTGGGGCTTCCCTGCCTGCTCACAAACCCTTGGATTTCTAAACTCGTCAAGGTGGAACAGGTACCCCGAAAAAGGGAGAACCTTTAACCGGGGTGGGGCAGCACGAGCAATGTGGAGAGAAACAACAGAGCAAGCCGAGGGGGGCTGAGAAGTTGGGTGTTCACGTCTGATGCAGATGAGCCAGCTCCATCCCATAATCTCAGCACCAGCTCGTCCACCATGACCCGTGTCTGCATCAGCACAAGGTGTCCCTTTGAGTCCCGCAAAACCGCTCTTGACGGGTCTCACTCAGGTATCGGACGTCTAGCCGCCCTGAATTCGTCTTCTGCTCCCTCCAGAAATCTCCCGGTGGAAAGCTCAGAGTTTGAGAATGTCAGGCAAGAACAGAACAAACATTAAAACAAAACAAAGCAGAGAAGACAAGAACATGGTGGCACCTTGGAGACTAACTGGGCACATTTTAATGTGAGCGTTTGCAGGATCAGGTCCCCTTGTGCAGACCTCCAGAGATGGGTGTGTGTGTGTGTGTGTGAGCCTCTCCTGGGGGGAGGGGGGGAGGAAGAGGAAGGAGCCCCGAGCACTTACTCACCCAAGCTTTGGCTGTCATTGGGCACACAGCGGTGCTGGGAGGCGTCCAGCACCAGAGGAGCAGCGCAGGAACAGTAGTAGGAGCCGATGGTGTTGATACAACGGCCTCCCACGCAAGGCTCTGTCTCCTCGTCAAGGCACTCGTCGTTATCTTGGGGGGGAGGTGTCAGTGTTCAGAGGGGGCCAACCGAGGACTCCCCGCTTTTATGAGGAGCCCCAGCAAAGCGGAGCTAAGAATAGGCTGAGCCCCCTTTGGGGAGGGAGGGACGGAGGGAGGGGGAGTCTCACCGATGCACACCAGGTGTAGCTCCTCATAGTAGTAGCCGTTGGGGCAGTAGCAGGTGTAGTGGGGGCTTTTGTTCACGCAGACCCCACCCTTGCAGACCTGGTTGCTGAAGAGGGAGCACTCGTCCACATCTGGTGGGGGTGAGGGTGAGGGAGGGAGACAAAGGGGGGTCAGAAAGGGACCCCTGCAGAGGCAAATCCCCAGGGGGTTTGGTTTCCGGTCCTGCGTGCGCCCCGACGTAGCCGGCTTCTTCCTCGTGTCCAGCCACCCCATCGCCAAGGCACAGGCAGGACACGGACTGCTGGGGGGGGGAAATCTTTGGTCCAGAACACCACCCACCCTGCAGGTCGGGGGGGCGCTGCCACTTCACTCACCTGCAAAGGTTGAAGAGCCGCTTCCCGTAATGGCGGGTGCGTAGCCCTCTCCGTGAGGACACAGGGCACGGTACTCGTCTGGAGGGAAGAGAGAGCCCACGTTTCCAAACTGAAGCAGCCTCAGCAGAATCCTCAAAAAACACAAACCCCCTTGGTCCCAGAACCCTTGCTATGTGGGGGGGGGAGGCAAGGGACCCCTCCCAGAGCCTCCTCCACCACCAGCGAGCCTTACCTGTCTCCGGAAGGGGGCACCTCTGGACGCGGCAGTCCAGGCCCCAGCTGTGGCCGAGGCTGCAGCAGCACTCTTGACGGGTGACGTTCCAGGACAGGACGTGGTCGCAGACCTGGGCGTGGCTGGGGTCGTGGTAGCACTCCTGGCGGAGGCTGTCGCTGGCCACGGCGGGTCGGGACTCGGCTCGCGAAGCATCCGGACGCTGGGGCGAGGCCGGGAGATGCGCTGAAAGGCAAGAGCTCTCTGAAGTCCACAGGTTGGATCGGAAGGGGGGGGCAGAGGCCAGGGGGAGGGCCAGGCCTCCTCGGGGTGAGTCCCACCGGTTTGAAGGGCCGAAGGGGTTCAGGGTGGACATAAGGTCGTACAGGTCGCCAGCTAAGGGCCAAACTCTATGGGGGCATTAAGGAGGCCACAGGCATCTCTACGGCTCTTCCAAAAAAATGAGACATAGTAGCTGTCCAGGAAGCAGAGTCAGGCCTCAGGGACTCTTCTTCCCCAACCCCTGGCGACCAGCAGCCCCCCAAAAGCAGGGAGGCTGGCCGGGCTGCACCGAATGGGGGCCCCTGTGACCAAAGGCTCCCTGCCGCCAGGCCACGTCTCTCAACCCACCCCCTGCGCTCCCTCCTTCCCTCTCACGGCACCTGACGGAGCAACACAGCGGCCGATCATGGGGTCGAACTCTTCACCCGCTCGGGGGCAAATGCAGAGGAAGGAGCCCTCTACGTTCTCGCAGCGCGCAGATCCACACACCCCTTGCATCGTCTCGCACTCGTTTGCGTCTGCACGGAGGAGGGGGGGAGAGAGGTCACAAGAGGGACCCCCTGGCCTCCCCTTGCCCCCTCTCGCCTCCTTCACGCCAGCCCCGTGCAACGACCTCCCCTCCTCCTGCCGGGGGAGCACATGGTCTCAAGCATTCCTGCCCCCCCCCACATCCCCAAACCAAGCCCTTGCTGTCTCCAGACCCAGCGGGCTTCCCTGTACCTAAGCAGTGCCGTCCATCCTGGGCGCTCTCGTAACCCTGGTCGCAGATGCACTGGAAGGAGCCGGGCAGGTTGTGGCAGACGGCGTGGGTGCCGCACGACGAACTGTTCCGGCACTCGTCCACATCTGCAAGGGGCCACGTCCAGCCACTTAGAGAGAGCCCTCTTTTGAACTCCAGCCCCTACTCCCCACTGCAAAAGGCACTCTCCCCTTGAGGGGTCCAGGAACACACACACCCCGGCTTGGTGGGCCAGGGGTGCTCGCTGCCTTCCAGCCCAGCCCCCCCCTCCGCTCATGCGCTCACCCACACAATCTCCCGTGGCTGTGGCTCGGTAGCCAGACTGGCAGATGGACACGCAGTGGTAGGAGCCCGGGGTGTTCTCGCAGCGCTTCTCCCCACACAGCCCTGCCCCATACTCCTGGCATTCATTTATGTCTGCAGGGAGGCCCCAGAAGTAGTGGGGAGGGTGCGGGGGGGGCAGGAGAAAAGACGATGATTGAAGGAGCAGAAATTAATGTCCAAGCCCCCCACACACACTCCCAGGACTGGTCCGTCTCTTGAGGTGTTCTGGATAGAAGCAAAACAAGGGGGTCACTCACCCACACAGTCCCCCATGGCGCTGGTTCGGAAGCCCGCCTGGCAGTGGGCCACGCAGCGGTAAGAGCCGGCGGAGTTCTCGCAGCGCTGGGTCCCGCAGAGGGCTGCCCCATATTCCTGGCACTCGTCAATATCTGATTGCAGGGGGGAGAGAGAGAAGAGGGGGGATCGAGGCGAGCCAGGGATTTCCTTGCAGGGGAAACCCTTCCTGATCTACGTCCCTAGGATTCCCTATCTTCTTGGAACAGCAGGAAAGCGGTGCCTTGAGGATGGGGTGAAAGAACCACCCACCACCCCACTCATCACAACCATTGGGGGGGGGTTTGGAAGCTTTTCAGAAAACCTGTAGCCAAGCGCGGCTTCTGCCCCGGAGCCTTCCCTTCCATCCTTCACCCCCCCCCATTCTCAGCACCACCGGGGCCCTTCCTCAGCCACTCACCCTCGCAGGAAGACTTTTCGGAGCTGCTGCGGGTACCAGGCGGGCAGTAGCAATCAAAAGAGCCCTCTGTGTTGGCACAGTGCCCACCGGCACAGACGGCACCGGCCTGGCATTCGTCAATGTCTGCCCAGCGAGAGGGAGAGAAGGGTGGAGGTCACTGCAGCCGGGGGGGGGGCTGCCCCAGGGGGGAAATGCCCAGGCTCTGCAGAACCACCCACGGTCCTGGCCTTGGGGTGCCGCGCCCGCCTCCGGAGGTGGCTCCATCCTGCCTCCCACGCTTGAACCTTTGCCCCCCCCCGCCGGCAAGGTTCCTTACCCACACAGGAGGCGCCGCCGGGGGCTGTGGTGAAGCCTTGAGCGCAAAGGCAGGTGTAGGAGCCCTCCGTGTTGAGGCACTCGCCCCGGGGGAAGCAGAACTCCCCCTCCAGGCACTCGTTGACATCTGGGGGGGAGAGAGACAGGGAGGGGACGGAGAAGGGGGTCTTTTTGTCCAGCCAGCCCTGGAGGCCAGGCCAGGCCAGCAGGCCAGGGCTTGGCAGGGAGGCGTGCCCTTGCGCCCGATTCAAGCAGCACTGGGCCGTTTCCCGGAGGTGCCCGTGGCAGCCTTTCCGAAGTGCCTCCGGCCAGGGCTGTGCCTCCTTGGCATCCTCCCTGGCTGGTGGGAAAGGGTCCCAAAAGCAAAAGAAAGGAGCCCCCATGCATGGGGGGGGGCATCTCTCTCGAACGTGCACACATACCCCCTTTTGCTCATTTCCCCTTCCTGGCCCCGAGGACTCACCCACACAGGCGGAGCCCGTCCCGTCTCCCCGGTAGCCTCGGCCGCACTGGCAGCGGTAGGAGCCCTCAGTGTTGAAGCAGCGCCCCTGGGGGCCGCAGGGGGACCCCGCTGAGCACTCGTCGATGTCTGCCGAGAAGGGAGGGAGGGCTCAGAAAGAGGGGGGTCCGAAGCCCCCTCCCCAAGCCCCTTCCCAGGGAGCTTCGTCTCTTACCCAGGCACTGGTTCTCCGTGAGGCTGGCGCGGAATCCCATGGGGCAGAGACAGCGATACCCGCCAGGCACGTTCTCGCAGCGCCCAGAGCCACACGGTGGTGGGCTCTGTTGGCATTCATCAACATCTGTGCGGGAGGGGTGAGAGGGAGGAGAGACAGAGAGAGGGCAACATTTGCTGCATGTATATATATTTGGTGACCCAGAATCTCTACCCTGGCCCCTCTGCTTGGCCCTGAAAGATCCCCTTCTGCATCTCAACTACGTTAATGGCTGGGGGCAGCAGCTCATCATCCCACAGGTCCGGCAAGGGAAGCACCAGAGACTCTGGACCTCCTCCTTGCCCACCTCCTCCTGGCACCTTCTTTGGCCTACTTACCCACACAGTGGGTCCTCTGTGGGCTCGGCTGGTAGCCAATCGGGCAGGTGCAGTGGTAACCGCCTGGCACATTCTCACAACGACCCGGCTGGCAAATATGGGGTTTCTCCCAGCATTCGTCCACGTCTGGAAAAAATACAACACGGCTGTGGTGTTCCTTCTCTCTCTCTCTCTCTCTCTCTCAACCCGCCCCCTTGCCCAGACCCTTCCTGAAAGGAGAGGGCTCCAGCTGACCATTGAGCAGGCCAGCAGGCAGCCTGGGTCTTACAGACTGAAAACGGGACAGGTGGAAACTCTCTGCAGGCAGGACCACCACAGGTAGCTCTCCTGAGAAGGGTGCACCAAGGTGTACGAGGCTCTCACCCAGACACTCGGTCCCCGTAGGGCCTGGCTGGTAACCCGTGGGGCAGGCACAACGGTAGGAGCCCGGGGTGTTCTGGCAGCGGCCCCTCGCACAAGGTGGGGGGCTCTGCGCGCACTCATCGATGTCTGCAGAGTGGAAGAGAGAGAGAGCAGGGAGTTGAGGGGGGCGGCCAGGCTTCCGGTGCCTTGCCCTTCGTCCAGCTTGGGTCAAGGGGAAGGCTGTGCCCCATTCTCTGCCGGGCCCCCCACTTTCAGCCGATCAGTTACAGCAACAACCTCAGAAACAGGAGAAGCTGGACAAAGAAAGGCTTCTAGCGTCTTCTCTGTGCTTTGGGTGCTTCTCCTGCAGACGTGGATTGGGAACCCCCTTAACATCTTCATCGCCAGCCTTCTTGAACTGGCATGGCACAAATATAAACGCAGGAAGCATACAAGCCCAGTAAGCCTCATGCTGCAAAGAAGGGGCAGCCCCCTTCCTCTTCATCCACCCCCTCCCCTGCTCAGTTTTCCTCCAAAAGACCTCTGCTTGCCTCGGCATTCAAAGCCAGCCGGGTCCAGTTGGTAGCCACTGGGGCAGGAGCAGCTGAAGGAGCCGGGGGTGTTGTGGCAATGCCCGTGGGCACAGGGTGGGGGCGTTTTGGCACACTCGTCAATGTCTGGAAAGAAGGAGATGCAGGCATAGGGTGAAGGACAAAGTGAGCGAAGCCCCCTCTCCCCCCCATCCCTTCTTTCGACGGAGGCCTCCTGCACCCCAATAGGCCTACAAAACGCACCCTGGCACTCCGCTCCTGAAGGGTCAGCCTGGTAGCCAGCCCGGCACCGACAGCTGAAGCTGCCCACCGTGTTCTCACAGCGCCCGTTGGCACAGGGGCGAGGGCTCCGCCGACACTCGTCCACATCTGGATCGGGGAACAAAAGACAGAGGGAAGGAATGCAACCCACTGCTGATGTCCTGGCCTCGTCGGACCAAGCGGGGCCCCAATCCGGCTCAGCCAAGTGGTCCCCGTGGCCCCAATCTGCCCAAACCTACTGGGTGCTGGAAAGAAAAGGGTGATGAAGCCAAACTCCAACTTCTGGGGATCAACAAGTTGCGAATAGAGATGAGCACGAAGCGATTCATCTCGTTTTGTCAAAATTCGTACAAATTTCATACAGATTTTGACGAAGTGAGACGAATTGCTTTGTGCCCATCTCTAGTTGTGAAAGGAGCCAGGTGGCACGTTGAGCTCCGGAAGGTGCTGGGAGTCTAAATGCTAAGCATGCAAAATGCCAGCTTATAAGATGGCCTTGGAATATCCGCAGGGTGCTTTTCCAACCAAAAATAGGATAATGAGCTGCGGATTTGGGGAGAAGCTTGAATCCAGGCGAGACTCTGGGTTGCCCTGGGTTGCCTCCTCAAGAGCAGTGACATCTAGGCTTCCCACCTCCCTTCTTGCTGCCCTCCTTTGCCACTGACCGCCTCACTCACCGATGCAGTGGGTGCCCTGAGGGTTGAGCCAGTAGCCACGGTCACAGACGCACGTGTAGCCACCTTGGCGGGGGATGCAACGCCCTGGCCCGCACACTTGGGGACGACGCTCACACACGCCCTGTGCAGCCTCTGGAGGAAGGAGGGATGCCCCCCCCGCCGGTCATTTCCTGCCTTCTCCCATCTCACCGAGCCCCTTGCCCCCCACCCGGGTATCGGCTGCTGTTGCTCTCCGATCCCTCCAGACAGATGCCCACCCCTTTCCTACCTGATGGAGATGGCTCAGGGCCAGGGGGAGAAGTGGGCACACGGCGGGGAGGCTGACGCCCCTGCAGGACGGTGGGCGGGGGGGTCCAACGGACTGCAAAGCAGAGAGAGAGAGAGAGAGAGAGAGAAGTGATGAAAGAAGGGTGGGACGGCAAGGGTGGGGAAACCCCATCAGCCCCACCCAGTCTACAGGAGAGGAAATGGTGCCAGCCCACCCATTTGGCAGGTGGCTGATATTTCATGCTGTGCCAACCCTCAGCTCAGAAAGGGAGTGGTCCATCATCCACAGTATGGGATCTTCTCACAAAGAAACTGCCCCGGTCCTGGGCACCACAGATCTAGGAGCCCAAGGCAGGCGGTCTCCAAGCAAAAGCTGGCTCGGGGATGGTGTATTATCAAGGATTCCCCCTCCATCCAAGCCGGGAGGCCAGGAAGGCCTCCAAAATCCCAGGGAAACCGAGGGGGTGTGCCATCCTCCCGCTCTGGGCACATACCGATATCGGGGGCTGGTGTGGTCCGAAGAGGCCTGGCCGAAGGCCCCCGTCCCCCCGGCTGGCGACTGACGGGCACGCGCGGCAAGTCCTGCCCCAGGTAGCGTGTGTCGTAGCGGAGGTCAGAGGCCGAGTAGTGGTAGCCCGGTCCAGCTGGGCAAATCTCCTTGAATCCCTCTGCCAGAGAGAACAAGGGCATTCGAGAGAGGCAGGGCAAGAGTGGGCTGCCCCCCTTCTCCCCTTGATTCCACCCTGAACCTGGAGGAAGCAGCCAGTGGGCCCTCCAAGATTTCCCTCTTAAATCCCAGATGGGGGCTGGTAAAAAGTGGCAAGAAAGCAGTCTGCGCATGCTCAAGGGAAGCCTTATCTTTGTTATGAGGCCCTTAAAGGGCTATTTGCCCCTGGCCTCGGTTCAGCTCTCCTTGACACAAAGCCCCCCAGAAGCCCCTTCGCGGCTGCTCCGGCTTCTCTTCCTTCCTCACCTGAGCCAAAAGCAGGGCAGCGCTCGCACCCGTGACCCCAGGCTTTGCCAACGCGGCTGCAGCAGCAGATCTGCTTGGTGATGTTGCGCAAGATGGGCAGGGAGCAGCCGCCCTCCCGAAGGACCCGGAAACAGGGGCCCTTGGCCTCTGAGATCACGTGGTGGGCTGTGGGTAGAAGATGGGGGGAGAGAAGGATGCTGGGCGAGGGAGAGGCCAGCCCTTGGCCAGGCAGAGGTCAAGGAATGAAGGGCTGGCTCGCCTCGTGGCACAGCGGTTAGACTGCAGCACTGCAGCCGAAACTCTGCTCGCAACCTGGGTTCAATCCCAGGTAGCTGGCTTGAGGTTGAGTCAGCCTTCCATCCTTCTGAGGTCAGTAAACTGAGTTTACAGATTGGGGGAGGCAATGTGTAACCTGCATAATTAAATTGTTCATTGCCCAGAGAGTGCTTTAAGTACTATGGGGTGGTATATAAGCACCACACTTTGCTTTGGCTCAGAGGATGATCTGATAGAAAAGCTCTCAAACCATTGATGTCCTTCTTGGCAGGGGTGGCACTAGGTGCCTGGAAACTCATTACTGGGAGAAACCCTATACACTGTACTCCTTTACACCATAGGTGTGTCTCATCCATGGCAGAACTTTTCCCCAGACCTGGATCTTCCCACTGTCCAAGACAAAAGGAACCAAATTTAATCAGCTGGGCCGATTAATTCAACGATGGCCCATCTTGTCTCAGACACAACCCATCGTGAGACAGAAGGCCACTGAATCCCTGTAATCCCACAGCTGCAAGTGTATAACATTTTCACTTTGTAACTCATACAACGCGCAAGAAAGCATGGAGACTTATAACCTGCTACAGTTCAAGATGACTCCTAATACCCATCTTTCCCTCTTTAATGTGTTTCGTGGTAAGAGGAGGGGAAAGACAGAAAGCAGCAGTGGAAAAAACAACGCAAGAGGGTTGCATGGTGTCTCGGCATCACATAAACGGGCAAGGTAGCTGCATAATAAAAACCAGGTCCCTGACAGTTCTCCTTTCTTTACAAGACCTTCTTTCGAGAAATTATTACTATGAACGCCCGGCAGATGGCAGCACTAGCCAGGCTGGACCGACACGGACCAGCAAGGGTGGAGCTGGGGGGACAGAGAAGTGATTTCCAAAGGCAGAGGTCCCATGGAAAGGCTGCGAGGTGCCCGGGTCTCGGTGGGCTGGCTGAAATCTCTGGGAAAACGCGGTGGTCTGCCGTGAGACGCAGGAGAGGGCAAAGAGCCCCAAAGGAAGAGATGAACGGATGTTTGCCATCAAGGCGGATTTAATGCCAGGCAGCCCACCTTCACTCGCTCAGCTGGAAAAAGAATCCCAACCCTCACCCACCCACCCAACCGAGCTGGCATCGCAAAAGTCCACCCGTGGGACCCAGGTTTTGGGCTGCTCCTGATCCAGCCACCCTACGTACAAGTGAGCGAGGAGGGGGGGGACATTTCAGGAAGGCCACAAGACCCCAGAACAGACGCTTGGCATCTAAACCTCTTGCCCAGCTCAGAGGGGTCTCGTTGCCCCGTGCTGGTTCCCCCCCCCCCACATTATTCCCAAAGACTCACAGATGCAGCTGCTGCGGGAGGAGTCCAGGATGAATCCCTCGTGGCAGACGCAGGCAAAGCTGCCCCGGGTGTTGGTGCACTCCCCGTTGTGGCAGAAGCTCCCCTCCTGGCACTCGTCGATGTCTGGGGAGAGGAGAGGGCAGGCGGCGAGGAATCAGAAAGAGCTGGAGAACGGGAGCAGGCTTGCCCTCTAGGGCCAGGGAGACGGAGACGCCCCCCCCCTCCCAAAAGCAGCACCGGTTCGGGTCTCGTGGGCATTCTGGTGCCTGTGAGCCCACCCAAGAGAGGAAGAAGGAGCCCCAGGGAAGACATGGGAGAAGCCTCCCCCCCCAGCTCAGGCACCCCCTCCCCCCCGCAGGAGATGACCATCCCCACTCACCTATGCAGGAACCATTTCTCCGCTGGAAACCTTTGGGGCAAGGGACTTCATTCCTCCCCACTGGGCCAGAATCTCCTTGGGGCAGAGAGAACACAGGATGGGAAGGAGGCCCCATCGCTGGGTGACACCTCCCGCCTCCCCACAGAGTGATCCTTCCCCACTGAGCCCCATGCCAGAGTTTAGGTCTGGGCCAAAAGCAATAGGCTGAAATTGTCCAGTCCCCCCCAGGATCGCTTGGCCCTGAATCATGCCCAACCCTCGGTAGATCTGGCACACGCAGATGGGCCAGGGTGGAGGAGGAAAAGGAGTGGCGTGGTCTGGAAGACAGAGGGCAAACGCTTCCCAGCGAGCAAGGCAGGCAGGAGAGAGTGGGAAGCCGGCCCCGGCCCGGGCGCTGCCTCGCCTGTTTCGTCCCCCAGATGAATGCCCGTCCCTTCCTGGGGCAGACAGAAGGGGATGGGGCTCTCCCAGCATCCCCACCTACCGAGGTCACCATTGGTGCAAGGCTGGCAGCCATGGACACCCCACGCCAGGCCGGCCCCACGGCAGCAGATCTCACGGGTGCGCAAGCCAGGCAGGGGGGCACTGCACTGAAAGAGAGCAGAAGGCAGTGGGAGCTGTCGGTACCATGGCCCAGCCATGATGCCCCCCCGAGCAGCTCACACACCCCTTTGGGCCGGCTGGGAAACACTGGGTCACTCCCTTCCCATCCAGCGGGCAATGGCACTGTTGTGGGCGCAAGCCCCATGGCTGCACAGCAAGCTGGAGCAGAGTGAGGACAGCCCCCTGACTTTCCCAGAGCGCCCCCCCAATTTCCCTGCCAATGCAAACCAACACACTCCTCCCATCTATGTGCAGAACACCCCTCCCTGGGCTGGTGTGTCACAGGTGTGTGTGCAAAAGCTTCACTTCCTTGCTTGTACAAGTGCCCTGAGGAGGTGGGGGGGGGAGGACAATCCAAGCATGCTCTGTGCCCAGGTAGACCCCAAAGAAAGTTGGCCAAGAGAGGGGTGTGTTTTGAGTTCTGACTCATGACGACCCTTTTCAGGCAGAGAATCTGCAAAAGTGATTTACCGTCCCCTTCTTCTTTCTATGTGTTTGTATTTCGGGACTCTGCAGCTTGTCCGAGGCTACCCGGGCTGGCTGTTTTCACAGGAGGCCCCGTGGGGGAATCAAACTCCCAGCCTCCAGCCCTTTAGCCAGAGACGGAAGCCACGGAGCTCTCCAGCCAGCTGGATTCGGCACAGGCGTGGATAATTCAAGTGCCAAAGGGGAGAAGCACTTTTTCCCCATTTCTCCATCCTGCTGACCCTGTGAAGGACACCCTAATCCATTCCCCACCCCATCAGCTTCATTTCTGCCCAACCCAGTTTGAGAAGGATGGTTTCTGGGGACTGCACCCAAAGGACTCCCCACCCCCACCCCCAATCCAAAGGGATCTGGGAGAGGAGAGGGGAGCACACCCACACCCCTCTGCCTTTGACATCTTAAAAAAAACAACAAGGAGTCTCTGGCCCAGAAGGGCTGGGAGCAGTCTTGGTCTGTGAGTGGGGAAGAATGAGAAACGCCCTTGGGGGTCTCTAGTCCACGAGGACCACCCTGCCCCACTGCACGGGAGCCTCCAGCGCTCGGCCAGCTGGCTTGCTTCTTGGCTCAGCCCAGATGCCTCAGGCTAGCCAAGGGCTTAAGTCCTCCCCTTCGCCCGAGGGGGGGGGGCTTGGCTTCCGGATTTTAATAGGGCCCTGGGGTTCCCTCGGGCAAGGTTTAAGAGCGCTGGCAAAGGCACCCCAGCCCTTGCCTCCTGCCAAGCCAGCCCTGGTGGGGCCAGAGAGGAGTCTGCTGCCCTCCAGCGGCTCCCAGCTTCGGGACTGCGCTCCCTGCCGGGTAGCTTTGAGAGCAGAGAGAGGGCGGGATCCATGCAGACTCCAGGGTGCACACTCTCCCTGCTGAGACCTGCCACTGGCCAAGGTCGCCCCCCCCACCTCCTCCTCCTCCCGCCCGTGTCCCAAAGGTTACCTCTCCGTCACGGAGCTGTCTGAAGCAGTAGCCAAAGCCAGAGGTCTCGCTGTAGCCCCCGCCAGGCTCCCCAGGGCTGCTCTGGGCCAGGACGCTGTAGAGAGCAGGGCGGGAGAGCGGGAGGGCATTGGTGTCGCCCGGCAGCTCCTCCCTCACCCGCTCTACCCGGTGGATCGTGACCGAGGCCTCGGGTGGGTGCTCCACGTGGACGTCTGCCATCGATGCCACACCTGAAGAGGGCAGGATTGGCATGGAGGAAGGAGAAAGACACGTCCCCCCCGTTATGCCAGGGCCAACCCCAGACCTCGTTCTCCCTCACACACCCCTGATTCCATCGTTCCTCATAATATCACCCTGGTTGGGAGAGGGAGTAAGAATTCATTTAATCACTTAAAATACTTTGACCCCACCTTTCTCCTTGAGAAGGACCCAAGGCAGCTGACAGCCTTGAAGACAATGTTTAAAGGGTGAAACAATTATACGCACAATGGTGCCTCGCATTATCAAGAGCCAAGAACAAAGAGCATAAAGAGGCACAATCCTACATCGTCGTTGGGCAGAGGAAGAGGGCGAGGGAAGGGGCCTCAGCACCAGCAACTCACGGAGAGGACTTTAGGCTGGCATAGCCCAGTGGGGATCGGGCTCCACTGCAAGGAGTTGCCTCAAGAACTCTGTGTAAGAAAGTGTAGCTTTGTGCCTCTCTCGCTTCGGCCTTGATCCACCGGCTGGGTGTTTTATTCCCCAGATCCAATCACCTGCCCCTTGGAAGCTCACTGATCAGCAAAACCATCCATCCACACCCGAAAAGCTCACTCGCAAAGGGGCACCGACCTGTCATTCCTTCCCCCCAAAAACCCCAAGAGGCAGGATAATTCTGGATTTCCATTCAACCCACCAGCACTTCAGGGCTTCAGGGGATACACGGAGAGTTCTTTCATAAATCCCGGGGATGCCTTTGCAGTCCCAAACTTTCCCTGGGCCATAAAAGGGGTGGGGGAGTCAGAAGGTCCCTCTCCTTTTTGCTCTCTCACACAACCAGGTAGGCCCCCTTTGTCTGTTTTTCCCTTCCGATGACACACACGCCAGGGGTTCCTCTAACACCCCCCCCGACCTTGTGCATGCCCAGCATCCCTCTCCTGCTCCCCCACATTACCGTCATGCTCGTGGTGGTGGTTGGCAATCGGGAGGGTGTAGACCGACTTGGTGAGGGCCTCTGCTCTCCCTCCCGATGGCGCGTCCGTCTCTCGGCGCATGGGGCTCTGTCCGTGGGAGCGAGGGAGGGCCGGGATGTGACAGAACTTGCCGGTCCAGTGGAGGGGGCACAGACACTTGTCCTTCTTGAGACAGACGCCTCCGTTTTGGCAGATGAGGGGGCACAAGACTGCAAGAGAGGGAGAGGACTCTTGTGGGGCATCGCCATGCCTGGAGGCAAGTGCTGAGATCAATCACGGAGGTAGGAAATCCTTTCGCTCCCTGGTGCTTTTCTGGCCCCCCCCCATACACCAGGGTCTGTCTCTCTCCCCTCCCCTCCTGCTACCCTGGCATTCCTCTTTTATTTTCACCAACCCACCTACCCTGATGCACGCTCTCTCATCATCTCATAGAGGTAAATGCTCTTTCTATCTCCTTACCCATCCGGCTGTTATTTCTCTCCCTATTCCCCCACCTCACTTTTTCTTCCTAGTCTTTCCTGACTGGTCTCTCTCTCTTTTCCCCCACACCATGCCGCTCTTTCGTTTTTTTGTCTCTGCTCACTGTCTTCACGCCTTTTAACAGGCAACAGAAATTTCTGTTTCTCTTTGCTTCTCTTCAGGGGCCCTGAAAAGAGAAGCATCAGACGGGGGGGGGGGGGGGTTCCCATGTTGTTTTCCCTGCCACATGGAACTGCCCAGAGGCCCTCTGGAAGAAGGGCTCTCCCAGCCTTGACTGCAGCTTCCTCTTACTTGGTAAGGGAAGTCTGCCACCTAGTGACTGAAGGTGGTACTGAAGACTACAGAGAGCATTTAGCGAACTGTAATTAATCAGTTGACTAATGGGGAGGAGGGTCAGCTTAGTCCAATGTAAAAAAAAAAACCCCAAACCCTACAGTTTTATACCATCTCAGACAAGTCATGTTCAGTATAAGCTTTCAGGATCGCTGCCTATTTTATCAGATGCACAATTAATTATTCCATTTAAAAATATCACTTCAAGACATGTACCCCTAGGGTCGCCTTAGCCAACATGAAAAGTTTCTACCTAGAAAAGTGTTCCTTCTTCTCTTGAGGAAGAAAACCACACACACAAAGCCAACACAAAAAAAGACGGGCAAAATGTTTAAAAATGTTGTGAACTGCCCAGAATGGCTTTGGTAGGCAGATGGTGCTTGGAATAGTTTGAAAGTCCATGTAACCAAGCCATTGTTGTTTCGCATGCTAATGTTTTTTGCACAAACATAAGAATTCACTGCCACTGTCCTTAGGATTCTCTTGCTGAGCGCACCACGAAACCCCTCACCTCCTGGGCAGAGGGAGAATAACCATGTTGCGAGAAGAACCCATTTTTAGATAATACCCAGAGGGGCCATAAATCAATGCAGGAGGAAGAAGAAGGAAAGTGTGGTTTATGCCACAGAGACTGGCATCAGCCTTTGCCCTCTCTCCTGCCCATTGGGGACCAAGAGCCCCAAAGACCTCCATGGAGGTCAGGGCTGGCCTTGCACAGCCCCACTCTGACCCCTCCACCCCCACCACCCCTCCACTACCGAGGAGGATGCCTCCTCATCACACGCCCTTCTCGTGCCAGGCCTGTGGGACTGGGAAGGCGCCAAGAACCTCTGGAGGGAAGCCCGCCTGTCACACATTCTCAGGCTCGGCTGCAGCTGGCCAGACAGTCTCGGTTGTTCTTGGCTTCCCGCAGTGGGTCTCTCGGGCCGGCGCTCGGGAGGGAGCCTGAGGGGGGGGCTGTCACGGTCAGAGGAAGGCCAAGCCAGCCAGAGGAAAGCCAGCCCTGCAGAGCAGGGTCTGAGGGATCCAGGAGCCATCATGGGATGGGGGTTTGAAGCAGCCGCCCCCAAACCTGAGCCGACAGGAGAGGGACCCCTCTCACACGAAGGCATTGACTCGAGGGCCCTTCCAACCCCAGGAGCCTACGATATCCAGCAGGCCTGAGGGCCATTTTCGAAAACATGGAGGTCCCCTCCAGAGACCTTCAATGCACAGAGAAGGAAATGGAGGTTCACTACCCTTTGGGGGAAATGTGTTTTGTGTGTGTGTGTGTGTGTGCTCAACACTTCAAGGTCTGTTTATTTTAAAAATGTGAGATCCTGCTCCTGGATTCTTCCGGGAGTGGCCTTTAACTCCGTTTTGGTGACGGCTCTGTGCTGGCATGCAAAAGCCGAAGCCACCCCCACAAGCAGAGACTTGACTGAGAGACACTTTTGTCCCACTTCCTCTGGGAAGGGAGGAGCCGCTCCTGGCCCCGTCGGTTAGAAAAGAGGGCAGAGTTTTTGCCTTGAATGCCAGCAACATCTAGCTACTGTACATGGGCATCCAAAAGATAGCACACATCCCTGTGCAAACCTTCTCCAGCTTGAACCTGGAACTAACACGCTGCTTTCTGTGCCTAAATTCAGGCAATAGCCTGTGGAGCTAAATCATCGCCATCATCTTAGAACTTCAGAGCTGGAAGGGACCCCCTCTGGACCATCGAGTCCAGCCGCTGTCAAGGAGGCGCCCTGGGGGAATCGAACCCCCAACCTCTGGCTCCGCACCTAAGCCACTCAGCTATCCAGCAGGGAGGAGAGTGAGAGTGAGCCAACGGAGGGTGCCTGCATATGGCCAGTCACCCTTACCCAAAGAGATCTGCAAGAGGAGGTGGGGACTGCACGCCACCCGCCAACAGGGCCTGTTTTGTTGTGGCCCCTGCCCTGCCCGGATCTAACTCCCGATGCTTCTAGGCTAGACCTTTACTGTGAAACTGCTCTTCCTCACTCCCGTGCACTTTTAAAGCTCGGCAGCACTGCGTTCCCCTCCCGACGACTCTCTTGCGTCACTAGAAGCGATGGCTGTTTGGCATCCAAACCTCCCTGCTCCTCCAGAAAAGAAGAGTGCATGGCTTTTCCAACCATCCGTCCAGCTGAGGCCCCGCCAGCTGCTCGCTTCCCCACCTGCTTGCCAGAAGGACACACCGAAGAGCCGTCGGTTTCCTCTCAAAGCAGTGGAAGGCAGGGCTCCCAGCCGCCCCATCCACCTTTGGGGCACAGACGGCAGGCGCTGAGGCCAACCCAGAGGCAGCTCGGAGGTGAGCCAGTCCAAGGGGGTCCTCAGACCCATCCCTGCTCAAGTCGGGATGAGTAGAAGAAGCACCATGAGGTCTGGATCCAACTTTGGGGGAGGGCGCCTAGCAAGGCAGCTGCATGGCAGACTGGTGCATATTCGGGTTTCCAAAGTAGACGGTGAGGAATGTCCCAAAACATAGGCAGAGGGCTGTTCTCTCCTGGTGCATCACCACGCAGATTCTGCCAAACGTGAGACTGAAAATATGCTGTTTGGGGGATCTCAAAAGCCTAATGGGGAGCCCAGAATGCCCGCTCCCCTTCATGGAGCAAAGGCTCATCGGGTGCCTCCTTGGGGGGGGGGAACGTGGTCTGGAGATGGCGCCAAGGGGAAAAATGCACCTTTCCCCTCCAGCCAAGGAGCTGTGGGGAGTCCCAGCTCACCCAGAACACATTCCCCCCCTGGGGTTGCAGGAGCCTTCCAGGCAGATGTGAGCTTTCAGGCGCTAATGGCTGAAGGAGAGAGGGTGATGACGACAGCAAGTCCCCAGATCTTGGTACTCTTTCGGTCTTTCCCTCTCCTCTACCCCTCACACACACAGAGAGAGAGAGAGAGAGAGAGAGAGAGAGATTCCCTCCAAAGCCCTTTAGTGGTGCATCTGGCTATTAGGTGTGGTTCGTGATTCGGAGGTGCAGCGAGGGTGAATGCATGGGAAAGAAAGGAGCTCCCCTCTGCAGATGGCTTAGGTTGCCGGGTGAGTGATGGCGCTGGAGTGGGCTGCGGAACAGGGGCACCTCTGGACAGGCCGTGGAGAGCAGTGAAGGGCCAGGACAAGCAGCCACGGCAGCCACTGCTGGACGATGGAACCAGAGCGAGGAAAGCAGGCACATCTGGCCCCGTTGAGTTCTCCTGAGCAGCCTGATCCAAAGGAACTGCAGCGCGAGAGGAAAGAAGGCAGATCTGGCCCCGTTGAGTGATCCAAAGGAACTGCAGCGCCCAGTTATCTGGGGTGTGTGTGTGTGTGTGTGTTGTGATGGGTGGGTGGGGTTACAGCTGCATATGTCAGCCCAGGGTCCTTGTGGCACCCTCCTCACCGAAATGCAAAGAATGGCTCAGCTGGACAGCACAATGTGTGTGTGTGTGTGTGTGTGTGTGTGTGTGTGTGTGTGTGTATGAGCGAGCAAGTCTGTCTGCACTCCCAGTTCTGCACACCCACCCACGCAAGGCCTGGGTAACGTCAAGTGGAACAAACAGCACAACTGGGAAGGGGTGGTGGTGAAAACACACACCCCCATCTCATCCAAGAATCATCCATGTTGGTGACCTCCTGAACCCCAAGCGGGGTTCCCACTGGGTGGATTTGGGGGAGGGGGCTGGGGCGGGGGCGACCCCTGTCCTCTAGGAGGAGGAGGAGGAGGAGGAGGAGGAGGAGGAGGAGGAGGAGGAGGAGGAGGAGGAGGAGGAGGAGGAGGAGGAGGAGGAGGAGGAGGAGGAGGAGGAGGAGGAGGAGGAGGAGGAGGAGGAGGAGGAGGAGGAGGAGGAGGAGGAGGAGGAGGAGGAGGAGGAGGAGGAGGAGGAGGAGGAGGAGGAGGAGGAGGAGGAGGAGGAGGAGGAGGAGGAGGAGGAGGAGGAGGAGGAGGAGGAGGAGGAGGAGGAGGAGGAGGAGGAGGAGGAGGAGGAGGAGGAGGAGGAGGAGGAGCCTGCAGGGGGACAGGGATGGGACAGGAGAGCGGCCCTGACCCCAAGCAGCTCCCAGGATGGATCCGTCCCCCTATAAAAAGGCTTGGAGCAGCACCATACTGGAGAGAAAGCAGGGGTGGGGAGGGAGAAGAAAAAGCCAACAGCCCTTTGCATCTCAGGGCTAGCAGCCGTCCCCCACCCCCCACCCCCGTCACACACCGGCTCCCCGCTGCCTAAACCATATTACCTAACAATTCCCTACAGAGTTCCGGAACGGCCCCCTGCAAACCCTCCATCCAAGCATGATGGAGAAATGACAGCCCGCTGGCCTGACCTCCCTGGAATGTGCCTGCCTGTTTCTTGTGTAACCCCCCCCCTCCACACGCCTTAACCTGGGAACCACATTTTTTGGCAACCCACACACACAGGCAAGGGCCATGACCTCACCCACATTTCCTGCACCAGCACTCTTAGGGTTCAGCAGCAAAGCCAGGGGAGGGGGGTATCCCCCAGAAGCCAGGATACTGAAGGGCCCAGAAATATCCTTCCAGATCAACAGAGGAGGGGAGGGGGTTGGTGTTCCCCCCCCTTGCCTCTAGGGAAGCCTTCCCTCTTCCTTCTCGATTGCAAGTGGGGCGGTGGGAGGGACGTGCCCGGTCCCTGCATGGCAGCAGAGAAGGGGTCAAAGCCCCAGCCCCAGCTCTCTGCGACAGGAGGTCGAGTCCCCTCCGTGACCCCAGCCCCAGGCAAAATATGACGAGCCAAGCCCCCACTGGACACATCTGGAAGTCGCATGGGTTTTCACCCAGGAGAAAACTCCCCCAGGCACTTGCACAACTGGGGGGGGGTCAGCGGCTGGGAACTTGTTCCAAAGGGAAAGCACACCCAGCATCACATAACTACCTCCCCCCCGCAAGATGCTGACCTGTGGCATCGTCCCACCCTGGAGGATAGAGGCTCACCCCCCCCCCTTTTGACCCGGCTCTGCCAAGCAGCATTTCGGCTCCAGCGGAGGTCGGGCGCCCTCCCTGGGCCCGAGGCGCCCCGATACTCACAGACGCGGAATCCGGGGGCCCCTTCGGCAGGCCGGGCGTCCTCGCTGTACAAGGTGGTGACGTTCCCCTGCTCACAGTGGTTGGTGCAACGCCCCTCCTGGCAGTGCACCCGGCAGACCATGGGGGTGAAGCGGACCTTGACCCGCTGGGCATCCCCGGGCAGGGGGCCCCCGCCCAGCCAGAGGGACGCCAGAGGCAGCAGCAGCAGCAGCAGCGGGAGTTGGGGGCGGCGGCGGCGTCCTCGCTGTACAAGGTGGTGACGTTCCCCTGCTCACAGTGGTTGGTGCAACGCCCCTCCTGGCAGTGCACCCGGCAGACCATGGGGGTGAAGCGGACCTTGACCCGCTGGGCATCCCCGGGCAGGGGGCCCCCGCCCAGCCAGAGGGACGCCAGAGGCAGCAGCAGCAGCAGCAGCGGGAGTTGGGGGCGGCGGCGGCGCGGCGGCCAACAGCCGTGTTTACGAGGGACCACAGCCGGGAACGGTTAACTCTTCGCCTGCTCGCTCGCTCGCTCGCGCTCTCCTCCCGGAGCCCTCGAAGGAGAGGGTCCCGACCCGCTCTGCCTGCCTTGGCTCCCTGCATTGGGGAGGAGGGCGCTTCCCCGCTCCGCTCCTGAAACCCGGGTGCCTCCCCCCTCTGAGAAAGCGGCCTCTGCCGAAGTTCCCCCCCCCCCCGCCGCCCGTCCTCCAAGGCTGGGCGAAGGCGTCCGGCGGCGGGGTCATCTGGTCGCGCGCCCGCCCTCCTCCCTCGCCCCGCCAGCCGCCAAACTTTCCTGCTCCGGGTGGCTCGCGAGGGCTCTCCCGCTGCACTTGTTGCCACGGGCGCTGCTGAG